GATCCATGTTTCTCTCTCATCAATGTTTCTGGCGGCTCTCTATCCCTCTCCCTTCCTCTCTGTAAAAAATCAATTAAAAAAACAAACAAAACATTTCCAGAAGGCTGTTTACTCTTAGCTTGTCCCATTGCAGCTCCCCCTGCTATACTCTCCTCCTGTCCCCAAGTTTCTCTTAGTTTGTGGGTAGGTGTGCCTAGGAGGGTTCATGTTTGGGAAGAAAAGATGTGGATATGCTCAAGGGTCCCCCAGGGCCTGTCTCTGCACCTCCTGTCCTTGGCCAGGGGCCTAGCACAGGGCAGGGGCTTAGTTAATGGTTAGTGAAGTCACACCTAGGAGACGGAGCCTCTCTCTCACCACCAGATGGGAACCCTCTTCCACTTCAGGTCGTGGGGGCTGAGGGAAAGCAGCTGATCCAACTCCCCTTCTCTGCCCAGATCCTCTTAAACACCAGATTCAAAACCTGGGAGGCTCCAGGCCCAGAAGGGACCAGTCCCCAGCTCTTCCGGGACGGCAGGCTTCCTTGAGAGCAATCGGTCCTTCTCAGTCCTCAGCTTGACATTTTCGAAGTTTCCCGGACAATCCTAAGGAGAGTCCGTACTGAAGTACTGATGCAGCTTTGTCCAGGAAAGAGGCTACATCCTGGGGGAGGTAGATTTAGACGAAGAGTATTCTGAGTGGATTTCTTTGTCTCTTAGCAGGACAAAGCCAACTTTCCCGCCATGGGCTAGGCGTGCTGAGCGCTGGGCTGGGCTGGGCAGGAAGTGGGGGAGAGTGGAGTGGAGGCACCACCCTCAGGGCCACGCTTGTAGTTTTCCTGTAAATGTGTCTCCAAAGACATAGCTCCATCATGTGCCAAGCCTGGAGGGTGGTCTGAGGGTACCAAAGCGTTGGTGGCATCTGCTGGCGAGAAGAAACTCAGGCTAAGGCCAACCAACCCAAGTGGCAAACACAATGTAATTCATGGCAAAACCTGCCACTGAAGGTGTTTTTCACTTATTTTAAAAATATGATTTTTCTTGATTTTAAAGAGAGAGGAAGGCAAGGGAAAGAAAGAAACATCCATCAGCTCCTCCTGCATGCCTTCCATCGGGGACTGAGCCCAAAACACAAAACCCAGGCATGTGCTCTGAGTAGGAATCGAACTGGCGACCTCTCTATGCATGGGGCGATGCTCCACACACTGAGTCATACCAGCCAGGCTGGTCATATTTTTAAAACGTGGACATGTACACTCATCCATTTGCTCACTCAGGAAATATTTATTGAATGTTCCTCCCAAACAAAACTGAATATGTGCTGAATGTCATAATCCATGGATTCCACCTTATCTTTCAGGTTCCACTGGCCTTTAGCATGGCAGCCTCAGTCTCCACATTTCTCCTGACGTCCAGTTTTCTGAGTTCCCAAAGGTCTTCCCTTTAGTATCTGCTTTTTCTATTTCGGCCTCACGGAACCAGTGATTGGCACATAGTGAGCTCATTGACTGGGAAATCAAGTCTCTCCACTTGTTTATCCAATTAGCAGAAGCCAATCTGTCTGTCTGCTGTCTGCTCTGCTGTTCTCTCTCTCTCTCTCTCTCTCTCTCTCCCTCTCCCTCTCCCTCTCCCTCTCCCTCTCCCTCTCCCTCTCCCTCTCTCTCTCTCTCTCTCCCTCTCTCTCTCTCTTTCTCCCTCTCCCTCTCTCTTTCTCCCTCTCCCTCTCCCTCCAGGAGAGAGGGACTAATTCCCATGCAGACAGAGCAAGTCCAGCAAGGGATGGACACCCGGGTTGCTGGTCTCTCTTACCTCCAGGACCCCTCCTTGAGGGAGTTAAGAGGCAAGGGCGTCAAGCATTATGGGCTCCCCCACCGAGACCCCCACCTTCCCCATAAATCAGTTTCCAATCTAACCCCTCCCTGGGGGTTGAGTTACAAACCTCAGTAACCCCAGGGCGGCCTGCCTGGTAATTCCTATTATTCAGCTGTCAGCTGGTTTTTAAAAAACCTCCCTTCCCAGTGATCCAGTTACCAGAGTTTGAGAGCCCATTCCTTGTCTCGGAGAGAAATCCTATAGCCAGGTGAAACAATGGAGAGGGCTCCTGCCTGCTGTCTACTGGGAGCGGGGTTTTCTCTTCTGCTGAAAGCGTTCCTCTTAACTCTTTGCATCCCTCCAAGACTGTGGGGGAAGACCCGCCTCCCTCCCAGGCCTGCACACTTTGCCTTTCTCTGGGGACCCGCCTTCTAGAGCCAGGGTCAGTCAGCAGAAGAGAAAATAAATTGGGGCAAGCGGAGGGGGGGGGGCGGGGGGAAGAATAGGAGTAAGGAAATTCTCCAAAATAAAGGCGGCTGCAGCTGCAATGTGCATTTGCTCTGAGCCCAGTCAAAAGCCTAGGGTTCCTCTGTTGCTAGTGTGCTGCTGCTGTTGGACAGGGGGCTCAGGTCCCAGATCTCTAGCCCCACAGGTCTTGCCTCTGCTGAGCCTGCCCTGTCTGGTGGGGGGAGAAAGGGTCCAGAGGGAGGGGTCTGTTTTGACAGTGATGAGAGGTGGGGAGTGAGGCTCCTGACCTCCCTGACCCCTTTATCCCTGACAGTCTTTTCTGGTCCCTCCGGCTCAGAAGGCTAGGCCCCTGCTGCTTGACCTTAGAGGCTGATAACACAGGAGGCCAAGCCACCAGGTGTCCTTTAGAACTAGCCCGAGGGAGCGGCCTGGGAAAACCTGGGAGAGAAGTCTTAGGAGAAATGTCACTGGAGGGTGTGACCCTCCCTTCATCTTGCAAATGGCCCAGACCCACTAAGGGGACCCCCTCTGCTTCCCAGCCCCATTGCCCTACAATGATGATTTTTATCCTTTTATAGGGCACAGGCTACTTCTAGAAACTGTTGTAAGCTATGAAGTCACCCCTCCAAAAATGTATGTGTGAACCCATGCAGAAGTTAGCCAGTTTGAGGGGTTCCTAGACCCTAAAGCTAAGGAGACCCTGGTGAGTGTGACAGATACACGGGCCCAAGGTGAACACCCTGCTCTACCAGCTTCCTTGCCTTGTGGACCCAATGCCACCTTGTGAGGGAGCAGACGGAGCTTTAGCAGCTTGGGTGGGTCGGGAGAATTAGGAGGCCCCTGCCCTTGGGGGCCTGTGCTGTTCCAGAGGACAGATTCAGAGCTGCTTCATCCTTCAGTCCCACTCTTCACCCTAAGTCCTTCCCATCACCATCAGTGGCCAGCCTGAGACACTGGCCCCGGAGGAAAGCCACCGGGAAGGATGGGAGGAAGGAGGGGAAGGAGATCTGCATGAACGTGAAGGCTCCCGAGAACCCTGCACTGGGTTGGTCTCCTCATCTCCCCACATGTGACATGACAGGTTCGGGCACTCCCTCTTGGCCAAGCCTCCTGGTAAAATAATAGACCTCGCTTTGGCTCCAGCACCTCTTTCTTTGGATGCCTGTCAACTCCTGGGGGGACTGGGCTGCTGGCCAACTTGGAGTCTCCTGTCTTTCCCTTTTCCCTCTTCTCCATCCTTTTGGGATAGTGTTTTCTTTTTACTCTAGCAACCATAGTGCTCAGTAAGCCTGGTTTGCTCTCTTTGAAGCACCCTTTGAAGGAGCCGGGGAAAAAATGGGTAGAAAAAAGGTATAAGATGATTCCAGGCTCCTCTGGGCTACTGGTCCCAGCTCCGCTTAAATCTGCCCCAGTTTACAACCACCAGTCCTATAATCAATCATCAGGTCTATTGCAGGGACTGGCTCCCTCTCACTCATTTCTGGCCCCTTCATTTATCTTTCCTAAAATTCAGGCGTGGCCAAGTCACTTATTTTGTATAAAACCTTTGCTGGCTCCACTTTGCCTCCAGAATAAGTCCAGATCCCCCTGCCTGGCATTCTAGGATACTTCTGTACCCTGACTTAAACCTACCTGTCCATGCCCACTGCTCCTGCATCGCAGTGTTCACCTAACGATCCCGTCCTCTAGTCTGCCCCCAGGACAGATTCCCCAGCTTCCTTTATTCTGCTGCCCCTAGGCCTGGACTGTTTTTATCTGGTTTTCCATATGGAAAAATGTCCCCATCCTCCAAGGCCTAACTCAAAAGCCTTCTCCCTCAAGCCTCCCACCTTCACATTCTGTGTTTTTCTGCATCTCTAGCAGTCATTATCCCCAAATCAACACATTACCTCCTGCTTCCCATTATTGTCACGTCTGTTTCTCCGAGTAACGTGTAAGCTCCCTGAGGACAGACACCGGTTTTTGGCACCCCGCACAGTACAGGTGCTAAATAAACGTTTGTGAAACCCCACGCTCCCTTCCCGGTGGCATGCCGTCTGCAGGACACTTTGCTCTCCTGGCAGCACCAGCACCGCCTCTGGATGCGGATGTAAAGAGGATGCGTGTCCACTGCCCAAGCGGTCCCTGATCTCGCCTCTCCTCCGCCGGCCGGATGCTTATTTAGTAAGAGTGCTCGCCCAGTCAAGAAGAGGACCCGAGGGCCCCTTTGGATGTGTTTGATCTGAAAGCCACTCAGTCTCAGCTTCAGACACGTGTTCCCAGGCTCCCTATATATAATACTTGGGGCTGGCGTTTCTCCCGACTCGCCCGGCAAGCAGAGGGTGCTTTGCCCCCAGGCCAGGACCCACGGGCGCCCGCACCTGCACCCACTGGACGCCACCAGCCGCGTCTAAAAGCTCTCAGCCCCTCTCCCCTCCCCCCTCCCTGTCTGGAGCCGTTTTTATTCAGCCCATTCCCGAGGAAGAAGACAAAAGTCACTTGGGCGCCCCCTCGCTCGCTCTTGGAAGGGTGACGCTCTGGCGATTCCCGAGCTCGCGTTTGGGAACAGAATCTGCGCGGAGGCCGGCGCACCAGTTGCGTTTCTGGCGCGGGTCGGAATTTTGCTCGGCCCCTTGAAGACACGGAAGGTTCGCACATTCTTGACCATCCCTGGCGGCCGCCCAGCCCGGAACCGGGGCTCCGCTCGCCATTGGCCAGCCGCCGGCGTGACGCGAGGGGGGCGGGGCCTAATCAGCTGTTTGCGGGATGCCCGGAGCGGGCGTATTTTGGAAACAATACCGCGCGGTGCGGAGTGGCCTCCTCCCGCGCCCACCCGCCCGCCGCGGCTGCCGCCCCTGCCCGCGCCCCCCGCGCCCCGCAGCAGCCCGGAGGGCGCCGGGCGTCCGGGAGCCGCACGGACCTGGATCGCGCCTCCGCGGCGAAGCGGGGAGAGGAGTCGCGCTGTGCGTGGGGGCCCGGGGAGGGTTGGACTGCGGGTATCTGGGGTGACCATGCAGGACTGGGGCGCTGGGGGCTGTGGAAACGGGGTGCAGAACCCACATGGAGGGGCGCTGCTCCCCGAGGCAACTTGGGGTCGTAGCATTGGAGAGGTCCCGGGAGTTGGGTCCAGGTGGGCAAGGGAGCCTGCCGCGCGCTGCCGAGCCGACCTCGGCGCCGGAGCACAGCCCGGTCTCCGGATCTCACTTTGGGGCAGGGCAGGAAGTTGTGGGGCGTCCTGCCTGCCTCCCCGCGGAGTCTGAAGGCCCCTCTCCCTAACAGCAGGGCTTTCCTCTCCTTCCCGATCGCGTCTGGGCGCCAAGCCCCCGAGAGCTCGTCACGCTGGACCCTGGCGCGGAGCCCTGGCACCACGACTCGGAGGCCGACACTCTCCCCTGGAGTCACCCAGGTCTGCTGTGAGTGAGTGAGTGTGTGTGTGTGTGTGTGTGTGTGTGTGTGTGTGCGTGCGCGCGCGTCCCCAGAGTTTAGCCCGTGTCCAGGTTCAGAGTGCCTTCTGCCTTCTCCCGGGAGGAGGAGTCTAAGTTGAGCATCCCTGTTAGAGCACGTAGGGACTGGGATGGCCACGGGCGGGCTTCAGTTCAGTATCCCTCGCTAAGAGTAAAGCCTTCCCTAGCGCTGCTCTCAGGAAGTGCCCCTCCTCCCAGTTTGGGCATCACCTCTTCAGGTCTGGGGACGGGGAGGAGAGGTTCTCTTTACTGTATCCTAGTTTATACTTGACCTTGCCCAGCACCCCTCCGAGGCTCCCACCTGCAGTTCCTGATGAGAGTAGGAAGGGTACCCTGGCTGGCAGAGCCACACCCTCTGGCTGTACCTCCCCCCCACTGTCCAGTCCAAGAAAGGGTTGAACTTTGGGGCTTTGCTGGAAGGGAGAGGGGGAGGGGAGGTGACGGGCTTCAAAGGAAGAAACAAGACAATGAGTGCTCGTTGTGGTTGGCTTTGGGGGCCCCTTCTGAGGTTGGGGTTGCCGGCTTGCTGAGAGGAGGCTGAGGGACTGGAGGGGAGCCCCTGCCAGTTGACTGGCAGGACAGCCTTTGGTCTTTTCAGCAGGAAACTTTGTTTCCTGGCGCTGATAAGCTGGAGTTCTACCCCCTTCCCTATGTTCCCCCCTCCCTGCCCTCCCCCCTTTGGGAAAAAATATTCAGAGAATATTAGGTGCCTATTTTGCCATCCAAGTGGCCAACTCCTCACTCTCCAGGGAAGAGGGCAGGGATAGGACCACAGCTTCAGGACTAGGTGGGGTGGAGGGACAGAGAGACAGACAGCTTGAATTTGGGAAAGCCAGGACTTCTGAATTTAACTGCGATTTCTTAAGTATTTTACCAACCACAGACCATTTGGCTTGTTCTTCAAAGGCAAGAGACTGGGAAGCAGAATTCCCAGGGGATCTCTAATTGAGTCTGGCAGTGACAAAACATTGTCTCTCTGTATCCTTAACTATTCAGGTGGATTTTGCTTCTAGCTGTGGGGTTCCTAGTGAGTGTGGAGGGGGCTGGGTTGGAAACTCAGGATAATAGTTGGCTCCGAGGTCAGACTTCCAAGAGTCATCAGTCAGGTGGAGCAAGAGGAACTTCTTTATTACCAAGAAACTCATATCAACAACCTGAGTATTTTGGCAGTGAGTGAGGTCACAGAGAAAGGGCAAAATTTCACTTCCTCCTGTGAGGCAGATCGTACTAATCTAAGGTTCAGCGCTGGCAGGAGTGGTAGGCTGTGGGAAGAGATTTGAAATCAGGGAGACTAGTGAGAAGACTGAGCCGGAGGAGGTCGGCTACTTTGCTGGATGTTGGACCCACCCTCCAGGCCAAGCTGTGGTGGGCAGACAGCTCTACTGTGCCGAGAGGGCAGCTGCAGTGACTAACTTGGGTCTTTCTTCCCTCTCTCTCCCAGGACACAATCTTACCACACCAGGGAGCCTGTTTGTTGTATTGAGCAAGCTGGGGGTGGAGACTCCAGTAGATGGGCAGATGGGCAGGGCCTAGCAGGTTTGGAGGGAACCTGGCTGTCCTAGGATTGCTGGCTGGCTTTTGTTTTTACTGCTGAGCCTGGAGCTCAGTTTAGACTTTGGTGGTTGGTTACTCCTCGGGAGAGAGAGGAGAGAGGAGAGAGAGAGAGAGAGAGTGAGTGTTGTGAGCACTATGTATCCCGTCAGTTGTAGCACCCTTCTGCTCTCTCACAGAGGCTAGTCTCACTGACATTTCCCCAGGTACCCTGAGTGCTTAGAGCAGCTGATCACACCCCTGCTGTTGCTCAGGGTTGGGAGCAGACTTCATGACTGTGACCAGCTGGGTCTGAAGAAGAGACTGAGGGGAGGGTGGCCGTGGGTGAGCTCAGGAAGAAGTATGGAGAGTCCCTGAACAGTGAGGTGAGGCAGTCCACCTTTGGGGACAGGTGTCACCCTTGGCAGCACTGTATCACCGGGGTTATCAGTCATCAGTTCCTGGCCCCACTTCCGCTGATAAGAAGAGAGATAAGGAGGGGCGGGGGAGGACCCCTTCTAGGACTCCCCCTGCAGGGTTGGCCTGGAAGGGATAGCATCCTGGATGCCTCATTACACCCAACAGGGGAGATGGATCCACCGCAGTGTGTGGAGGAGCTGGAGGATGATGTGTTTCAGCCAGAGGATGAGCTGGGGACCCAGCCTGGGAGCTTGCCCTCCGCTGACCTGTTTGCCCAGAGCCAGCTGGATTGCCCCCTCAGCCGCCTGCAGCTCTTCCCTCTCACCCACTGCTGTGGCCCTGGGCTTCGACCCATCAGCCAGGAAGACAAGGCCACCCAGACCCTCAGTCCAGCCTCCCCGAGCCAGGGTGTCATGCTGCCTTGTGGGGTGACCGAGGAACCCCAGCGACTCTTTTATGGTGAGTGCTCTTAGCCTCAGGACTCCTCCCATAGAGACGTGGGGAAAAGAGGGGACTTTCCCTCCCCAAACCTGCCTGTTGCTATTTCCTTCCCCAAACCAAGCAGCAGGGGCCATTGATTTCCTCACCTCTCACCTGCTGCCTTTCTGCTTGTCGTTGCTCCTTACCTGTGCTCCTCGGGCGCCAAGAAGGACAGATTGCCCTGCCGTTATTTCTGCTCTTTCATCCATCTCTGGAGGGGTCTTTGGGTCCACGGTGTCTCCTTGGGTTGTAGAGGGTACCTGAGCCTCAGCTTTTACATCCTGTGGCCAGTAAAGGGGTGCAGCCTTTTGTGTGCTGGCAGTGATGCACCTTCCATAACCGACATTGCTCCGGAGAAGGTTGGGGGAATCTGTGACTGGCCATTGACACTGAAGGGGAAAACCCAGCTGGTTCTGGGACAGAAGGTTCCTGAAGGCAGAAGGTGGCCCCCCACTTGTCACTTGGGACTTTCTGGGCTTGGAAGGGGAACTGGAAAAAGAGGTTGAGACCGCCTAGGCTCCATGCCAGCAGAGGGGCTTTTTCCAAGGTTCAATAGGACAAGACCCCTTCATTTGTAGGCTTACATGGTTGGTTTTTGAGCTGTGGGCCCTCCTCTGGCAAAAAAAAAAAAAAAAAAAAAAAAAAGGCAGGGTTAGACGCACAGTCTGCTTTCTACTTTTAGCACAACAGCGTATGGAGAGAGGGGAAAGGCTCAGAGGCTATCTTGCGGAGTCTGATGGACAGACTGGGGAGATGCTGCAGTTATTCCCAGAGGGTGCCGGCCCATAGCGTAATTCCTGCACCGCAGTTCTGGCGGGAAGAGGGAAAGGAGGGAGGAGGCAGGCGGGTGCCCCTAGTGGCAGCTCGATTGCCAGCACTTGGTAAGTATGGAGCGCTATCTGGAGGAACTGGGCTGTTCTGTGGGTCTGAGTTTTCTCTCGCTAGTTTTTACACCACTGCCCAGAGCTTTAGGAACTGAGACCAGCCTCCCTCCGCTGCACTAATAAACGGAAACACGTTTTGGTTTTTCTTTCTCTGTCCCTTGCTTTGCTCCACCCAGGAACTCTGGAGAGCTGCCTCCAGTGCTTTTCCAGAGAAGAGCTCCAACCTGCTACTACATGAATAATAAATTATGGTCAAGGATAGCTTGGTAAATAAGGACAGAAGGTTGGCAAGTTCACCCATACGTGTTACTTTTGCCACGGCACTGCCGACAAATGTAAACCCGAGGGGAGGGCTGGGACCTTTCCCGTCTGTCCTCCCGGCACCAACTTTTATATACTTGCTCGTGAGTCAGGTTGTCCGAATTTGGCAGACTGCCCTGATAAGGCCTCAACCCCGGGTGTCTGCCAGGAGCGTTAGGCATGGGGAGGAAGGGACGGCTGTGCAGAATGCTGAGACGTGGGCCCTCTGTCCTTGCAGGCAATGCTGGCTACCGGCTCCCTCTCCCCGCCAGTTTCCCTGCAGGCTTGCCCCTTGGTGAGCAGCCCCCTGAGGGACAGTGGCAACACCACCGAGCCGAGATCCAGATCGCCAGGAAGCTTCAGAGTATTGCAGACCAGTTTCATCGGCTTCAAATGCAGCAAGTAGGCACGGGTCCTTGGGGTGGGGGTGGGGGAGGGGGTATGAGGTTTAAGTCTGCCGGGAGGGTGGGTAGGGGGTTGGCTGGGGCCTGCCTTTGCAGCTTTGTCTTGCTAGATCTGAAGAACACGGTCCCAGAGTTTTGGCCTTGACCAGTGTGATCCCTGAGGACCGGAAGGGCCCTCCTGGAGGAGTATGCCCGCCCTCACCTCTGAGCTCCAAGTTGGTTATCTGCCCACTTTCAGCTCAGGCTCCACAAGGTGGTTTGTTGGGAGATGCCACGATCCCTCCTTCCTGGAAAACGGGAAGGCTTTTTGCAGCCGTGCTTGACACACTGTGTCCTCTTGAGGCTAGAGTTGAGAGATTGTCCCGTGCGGACCTCAGGGGAAGATGTTCAGGGTGCTGCAGGGGGCCCGGGCCGTTGGGGGTGTCTGGCTGAGGTGCAATGGGAACCTAATAACCAAGGCCGAGGGATGGGCCGAGCGGGGGAAAGTGGTGGAACCGGTTGTAACCTGACACTTTCCAGCTGGGGAGGCTGCTCCTCATTGTCTCTGTCTGGGAACTGGGGCCTGGGACTCTGGAGCGCGTACCTCGGGGAGTCTCTCCAGACGGGCGGCCGGGCGGGCGCTCGGCCGGGTGCTTGGCCGGCAGCCTGGCACCAGCACCGCCAGGGCGGGGCATCCCGTGTCGGTGGAGCATGTGGCAGAGTCCATCAACAAAGGCGGCGGCCGGCAGGCTCGTGCTGAAGGAGCCCTTGTGCCACGGGCTGTAGGCTGCCCGGCTCGGCAGCCCTGTCTGGGCGGCCCCCAGGCACTTAACCCTTCCGCTCTGGGCTGACTCTCTGGAGGGCTGCCAAGGCAGGGAGAGGGCTGCGGCTGATCTGTGCTAGGATGCCCGTCGCGTGAAGCAGAGGCAGGCCACCTGGAAGTGAACACGTTCCCCCCTT